GTTAATGGAATTCCTTTCCTAATATTCCTCGTATACATGACTCAGAAGAGGATTCTTTTAAGAGAAAAATATTTCAAGCACAATATTATTCTTCTTCATTAGGAGAGAAATGTTCTTTCGGTAAAAGTTTTCGCTTAGAATATGGGATTATGGAAAATACAGTACCTTGTAACTAAGTTAACTAGAGTTCTCTTTCATTTCTTAACTGTTAGAATATTTTTCTTTTGATTTTAGAAAAATCCTCTTGAGGATATAACAAAGTACCGCAATAAGAGGATTCAGCACCGCTAAGAATGAGATTATTTCTTTTTTTCGGCGTGGACGAATTGGCAGACTCATTTCAGTCAGTCTCGCGACGACAGATACCGTAAATATCAACGGTACGATGTTTCAGACACACGTGGATACACAGCCTGAACAGCGGTAAAATGTTAAATTCATTTTACCGCCGTTCTCTACATTGTAGGAAGAGATTTGCACGTAGCATCGGCAGTTTCACGCCCGCGCAAACTCGAGATGATGCGAGGGAAACGGGGAAGAGGCTCCTTTCACTTAACTACGTTTCCTCGATAGCAATCCATGCCGTGGAAGCGACAATGGGTTCCTCGACCGAACGACACGGTCAACCTTCGCGCGAGAACGAGTGAATATCACGAAAGTGAACGGGCCTCGAATTCGTTCCAGTCGTACACGCGGCACAACGAGCGAAGGGAATAGGGACTTCCTGTGCGGAAATTCGTTACCCTCGACGGAAGTCCGAGGGAGACCGCGAAGCGAGGCGGGGAAACAGCTGAGCGAATAATTATTCGCCGCGCGAACGTTATAGTTCCATGCACGAGCGATGTTACGTGAAATATTAAATAAATTCTCCTCGGATATCCTATCAAGACGCGAATCCGTAGCTTTATGAAACGAACAGTGTGGTCTCATTCGAGATATATCATGGTAGAAAATGCGGAAGTCTCAAGATGAGCGAAAGAATTCATCTCAAAATACACCTCGAATGTTCCATCGTTTCTCCGTTGAGAACACGGGAGATGCACTTTGGAGCGTGAGGCAAAAAAAAAAAAAAGCAGTGGACACACGCGTCAAGTTGGCACGCCAAGAACGCAGACTATTTCTGGACATTCCCCGGAGGATCCGTTACGAAAAATTTAGTTCCTGCTTGCGCTCGATTTAGATACGCGTTCCAATGCACCACGATTGTCCTCGAGGTGGAATCGTCGTTAACCCTGACAGTAACACCAAGCGCCTTTCGAACGCACTTTACTAAAGTTCGTTCTAATTTACTTCAAAGAACTCGCTCAAAATTATGCATGAAAACGTTAAGTAAAAAAAAAATTATAACTTGCGATAAGTAATTTAACAAATTTTGAGTAAATTTCTTAATATGTCCGATACGTAAAATGAGCTTGTTATCGTCAGGGTTAATAATTGCGAATGCAATCTCTTCTCTTCGCATACATCGTCGCGTCGTTGCATCTAAGATTCGCGAGTCGTTTTTTGCGATCTGAGCGGATCTCGTCGAAGTGATCGCAAATCATGATTACTAATAAGCATATTGCGTCTGGGAATTCGAGACATTAGACTTTCCTCAGCGTTGATATTTATGATATCTGTCCTTCGCGATACACCGAATCGATGAAAATTTCAATCAAGGATCGCGTATATTACTCGGTTGTGTAGCGCAATTTTCTAAAATAGTAAATCCTGATTTGTTAAGATCGCAATCAGTTACAAAAATGTAAAAGTAAAAAATCTCATCGATCCTGCCAGGATTCGAACCTGGAATCTTCTGATCCGTAGTCAGACGCGTTATCCGTTGCGCCACAGGACCACTTGGTTACAAAATAGTTTAAATGGTACATTACAACGTGCAAGAATAATTTACAACAGAATTTATTACAACAACTATATAAATAACTTTTTGTTTGAACTAGACAAGAGAAGTTATTATCATCGATAACTTCCTAATGTACGTAAATATCTATTACTCGTTGCTTGTCTAAAAATATTTTTCAGATTTCACGAACGCCTCCCGAATGCGACGAAATATCTGTCTCAATGAAAATTGTCCGGGGTTATTTCGAGATACCTTGAGTCACATATTAATACGTATGAATAAAAATGAGAGAGAATTAAAACGATCGCGGATGTCCTACTTTCCAAGAACAAGTCCTCTTTTTTTTGGAAGCGCCTTGGAGCGTCCTTAGACGTCCTTGTGAACTTTTCATTTCTTCTTCATAGCTTCGTATTTACATCTTGCAGTAAGAAAAAATTTATAAACGGAACAAATTGACGTAAACAATAAGGTTCACTTATAAACAAGATAAAATGAAATCGAGATTTCATCAGATGTGAAAGAGACATTGGTGAATATCGCCTTGGTTTGTATTTCAAGGAACATACATGTTGGCAATTTCATTATGCTCGTTTATGCGCACTGCGCTCAGTTATAATTTACAAGACGTCCTTCTTCTGGGCAGGAGCGAAATATTTCACGGACACACACGCTGAATTGCAGCAGCGCATCGATCTTTGGGCAAACCGCGTGGTTTTCACGGCGTTCAGCTTCACATAAAACGTCGTTCAGCGAGACATGTCAATAACGCACGGCCAATCGCGAAATTTCCTGTCGGAGTTCTAACTCTCGTATTTTTAAAGCCTCACACGGCAGTCGAGGGCTTTTCTGTTAAATTATTTCGCTTCAATTCAGGATATAATTCCGATGTATATTACACTTTTTTTCCGGTAAACAAATCGAAAAAAAAAACAAGGACGGACAGTTTACAATCATAATGAAAACGACGCTATTTCTAACGAGTCCCTAAATAATATTTTATTGGCATTCGCGATTGGGCGTACAAAAGTTCATGACAATTGATTTACGATGCACGTTTTTATAAGGTTTACTTGTAAACAAGAGATAAATCTCAATTATCCGGTATATCTCAATTATCGGAGATACGATAGCACTTATCGGAAATACGAGCAAGTATTGTGTGCGGCATTGTTTCGCAACTCACTTTTATATGTCAGTAAGGAATGTGTTTCGTACACATTCTTGAAGCTTTCGATAGCCGTGTTCAACGCGTGTCATGTTTTTTAACGAATGTGCACATCCGTCGAAAACGATAAATCAATACGTGACAATATAATTTTTAGAAAAATCCCGACATAATGAAAAACAAGCTATGTAAAACGTCATTTCAATATTTATGGGGTATTTAGCAGCCCTTGTTATTTCTGTTTTCTTACTAAAAGTGTAAATTTAGTTAAAACAAAAATCCAAAGTTATAAAATCCGATATGGCAGCTTTATAAATAACTCCGATATCACAATTTTATATAATATTTATTTGTAGACTGTTATTCTCTCACAGGTAAAGTAACAAAAAGTGTGCTCCGAGAGAGAGAGAGAGAGAGAGAGAGAGAGAGAGAGAGAGAGAGAGAGAGAGAAAGATAATAAAGATGGTATCGAATCGTAATTTATTTTATATGTTCATTACTGTATTATTTCTCACTCTTTTAAAATGAATCAGTAAAAATGTTTCTGATTGAATCAGTAAAAGGACTAATATGCACTAATTTTTAGTGAAAATACTTTTTTTATCTTATTTCTCACTGATTTTGATCAGTGAAATTTCACTGTAAAATCTTTAATCGACAAATTCATTATATGTTATAGAAAGTTCAAATGTCTGTGACGACGGAATTAAAATACAAATAATGTCCATGCACTTTGCGTGCAACGACGCTATCTGTGTTCGCAAAATACATCAATAATGTCAATAATCGCTACTATTAACAGATTTTTTCGGCGAGATTTTAGTAATTGCCGTGCTGTATTTATAACTGAACCACTAGTTATAACATTTCAGTTGTTTTGTCTTTCTTTATAATCTATATTTAAAATTGTTACCAAAATTACACGCACACATACACAAGTATTAACTGCTCTACGTTGTGAACAAAATTATTAATTTGTTCGGTTATTATTAGCTTATGAATTATATAGTTAGAAATTGACAACTTTGTTAGAGTTAATCATTGATTAACTTAATTAGAGTTTGGTAAAAGTCAACTTTAGGCCACGCAATTAGAGTAATAATCGCATCTCAAAGACAGTTGAGTGTTATCGAACTTTAATTAATTTACATTTTAAAGTTTCTCGCTCAAAATATTTATTTGTAAACTTTGTTATTCTCCCATAGGTAATGTAGCAAAAAGCGTGCTCCGAGAAAGAGATAGATAGATAAATAGATAGATAGATAGATAGATAGAGAGAGAGAGAGAGAGAGAGAGAGAGAGAGAGAGAGAGAGA